AGTGGAAGTGCTAGGGCACTGCGGTGGGGAAGCTCATACTGCAGGAGTCCCGACTGGAAGTGCTAGGGCACTGCTGTGGGGAAGCTCATGTTGCTGATTTTGCCCCTGGCATTGCCCAGGGTCCTGTGTTAAACTGAACTGTGATGTATGTGATAACTTACCTTGACTGACTGTGCCGGTTCCTTTCACCCTCTCTTTGCTGCCAGCCGGAGCAGGAAACCACCCCCAGGCACAAGCAGGAGGTATTCTGTCTCTGGAGCATCTTACTGCCCATTGGTGCATTGTATTGTCCATCTCCTTTAAAACAACAAGCACCCCATCCCTTCCCCCCCATACTATGTGTCACCCTATTTACTGGAATACAAGATGCACCCAAGCGTCTCTGGGGAGCCTCCCGCTCCGGAGAACTGTCAGATAAATGTAGTAGCCAAGCACACGGAAGCTTTCCCCGAAGCACAAGCAGCATCTTCTATCCCACTAAGTAAGGCAGCTCTCCTCGCCTCATGTGTGTGAGCAAGAGCCCTCCCATGGCACTACAGACGGGTCATCGTGCCATTGGGATGTCCTGGCTACTGCGCTCTTTACTGACTCCTCTACGTCTTCTCCTCGTGTCTCTTCTGTGTCCAACCCTCTCCTGCGGGCTCCGGCTCCCTCTAACGGAGCAGAACAAGACTCACAACTCCCAGCCCCATGTCTTCCAGTTCGCAGCGTTATCTCCATGCCAGCCTGGCTCAGAACTCCACATGGCGGCTCCTACCTAGGCTCGGTAATTCCGTTGGCGAGGCGTGGGGCGGCATGGAGAGATGCTGCCCCACAGTTAGGTGTTATTTCAGATACAAACCCTCGTGCCCACTGAACCGTTCCTAGGGTTCCTCTCCTAGCGAGAGCTTTGGCCAGGTGGCCTGGCCTGCTGAGTTCCAGGACCAGCTCCAGCACTGGCCTTGGGGAAGTCACTTAAGATCTTCCTCTGTCTGTTTCAGCTATCGGTTAATAGGGAGCATGAGGGCTAGTGCATAATGCTCTTGGAAGATGGGTCTTGCTAGGGAGGGTTATTGCATGGTTCATTGTCAGCTCAGAACCAGGCTGCTATTGCCTAGTCTTCGCTAGAGGTCTGTGAGGGTAATTAACCCTTGGCACAATTTACATGGGGATTTGGTGGTCTTTAAATCAAGACGGGGAGTCTTTCCCAAAGAGATGCTCTAGCTAAAATCCCTGCCGTTGCATCCAGCACAAGGGCAAGCCCCTTCGGTGAGCGATCTGCTGTTCAGCCCCAGCTGGTTGGTTTATTTTCCCAGCTCCTGTAGGTGCCCGGTCCTGTTCCCTCCATAGTGTGTCTCATCCCTCATTACTTTCTGCATGTGCCATTCTCCATCGCTTGTCATGTGCACCCCAGTAACACCTTGTGCTAGTGATCGGCGAACCTCAGAACGGCCGGTTCTAGGATGCAGATAACATTTTGGATTCTTATCCTAAACTTCTCTGAGCCTCTTGGGTCTGCAAAGTTGGCTGGACTTCTCATGAGAAGGGCCTTTCTCAGGCCTCTTGGCTCCTGCAGTCCTGCACAGGACCCAGAAATGGACAGGCCGCTACAGGAACTCAAAATAAGGGCAGGGAAGAAGTTTATCTGAACCTTTTTGAACCTCCAAACAGGTTTGATTCGGGGCAAAAATTGGGGTTGGCTCTTCTTTTTGAATGGGTTCGCCCATCCTTAGTGCAGAAATAGGGGGTCTCACAACCCTCACATGTTATGGAAAGGATTGGGTCTGCTATAGAGATAGGGCCTGAATCAGTGCATGGACCTGAACACCCCTGAATCGTTATCTTTATAATGGGCCAAACCCAAACCTCTAGACACCGTAGCACTCGGGGGAGGCCCATATCCAAGTTTGGACCAATCGCCAGAATCCAGTTCCAGGGAAGCCTTATGGAAAGTCCAGTAGAACATTTTCAACTGGTTCCAGCTGGCAACTCTGTACAATCGATTGGAACAGATCTGGCCTACTGGCTTCAGGGGTGTTGGGGCATGATGACCCTCCAGCAGAAATTAACAGAGGACAGTGGAACCTAGTAGAGACTAGAGATGACTGGAATGGAGGTGACTCCCCTTTGAGTCCCACCGTTCTACTATTACTGAGAATCGGCTAGGATCGGCCTCACCCTGGCCTGACATTTGGATCCCAGGGAGCTGGGCTTTAGGATGGGAAAGGGGCACATTGATAAGTACCAGGAAGTACTTGTAAGTTCTGCTGGTCACTTTCAGCTGTTCCCTGGAGCTGTCCTAGTCTGCAGGGTGATTCCCGGCACATTTGGCTCTTGAGATCCCAAATTCAGGCTCACCATGAAGCAGGCCCTCCCTTCCCCGCAGCGATCCAATCTCTGCCTCGCTAGTTACCTTCCCGTCTCCCTCCCAAAGTTTTTAGACAAACCAGAAGACGTTTTGCTAAAGCACCAGGCCAGCATCAATGAGCTGAAGAGGACGCTGAAGGAGCCCAACAGCAAGCTGGTTCACAGGGACCGGGACAGGAGGCTGCCTTCATCACCAGCCTCTTCCTCACCCAAGAATGAGGATGAGACACCAAAGGGGACCCCGGAGAAGGCCAGTGAGGTTCGTTCTGTCCTGTCTTGTGAAGGGGGTTTTCTGTTGATTTGTGTCTGTGGTTTGGTGGGAGGTGAGTATAGTTGGTGCCCTGTGCTCTGCGCTACCCAGGAAAGGGTTGAGTGGAACCTGAGTAAAGGGTGTGCATATGGCAGCAGCCCGGGGTTGGCCTCCGGATTTGACCTCTTCCCTAGCCTTTGGCATTGCTTACCCCTTGACACCACAGAAAGTGCCACACCCAGGCATCTGAGTGAGGACTAAGCCCAACCTCCATCTCATGCAGGGATTGGCCAACATGGCTCCATTGCTCCAGCCAGGGGAGCAGGTTGTGTAGCGCACCCTGTGGCTGGAGCCAGTGCTCCTATCTGGAACCCCCATTGGGTGTCTTGCCTCTTCCTTCCTATCGTGATGGCTTCTCTGCTTGCTTCGGGGATGCCTACGGAGGAGTCAGGCCTGAGGACTCTCCATGGCCAATCTCCCCATGCTTGCAGTATGGAGGGAAGTGAGCGCATAATGCCGGCTGAGCTGTCTCTGGTGCCAGCGCGCAGCTCTGTGCTAGATTCTGCATATGTCCTCCATGCGTGACATGGAGCTGAGAAGCGGGTCCACTGGGCTCTGGGCTTGCTGGGGTAGGCGGGGGAGAGGCTGGCTGCTTCTGGCTGATGTTGAGGGTTTCCAGCCCTCACTGCTCCAGAAGTGCTGGGAGAAGGGTGTGGTAGGCCTCAGAGGCGCTGTGCTTGCCAGCTGATGCTCCGTTCTGTCTGCAGGGTAGCTCGGCAGATGGCTCTGTAGTGCTGGGATCTTGTGCGCAGCCCTTTGCGGCGTAAGGGGAACGGGGCAGCAGATACCGCGGCATGTTGAGCTAACCCCCACTGGGGCTGTGACCCAGAAATGAGGAAGGGCAGGTGAAATCAGCGAGCACTGTGCTCTGCTAGGCAATGGCTTGGACATTGACCTGTGGAGAAGCAGGTTGAGGTGGTTTGAGAGCGGGAGACTGGCTGTTTCAATTAAGACACGGGTGAAAAGCCGCAGCAGGCGTCTGGGCTTTGCTGGTAAAGGGCGCCACCTGCCGTTAGCTTCGAGCATTGACTCCCTCAATTCCTGGCTGAGGACAGAAGACTTGAGCAGCATCTAAATGACAAGGCCCTCTCTCTGTCCCCCCTCCCTGCCCCAGCTGCAGGGCCAGCTTTATCTTGGATTGGCTGCCAGATTTGTGCTTTGTCTGTACAGTGCCATGCACACCTGTGGAGCTGTATCAGTACTGCTCGTAGCCATAATGGTGCTGGTGGTCCCCAGCCCTTTGACCTGGAGACGGGGAAGGGTTCTCTGAGCAACTAGCCTGGGCAAGCCTCATACTGCAGTTGCCAGGACCGTGAGGCAGGCCCATTGCTGTCTCTCAGCTGATTGAGGCTGTAGAGCAGCAGTGGGGTAAGGGACACAGGCGTTTAACCCAGGCTAAGGAGGTTTTATGGCCTGAGATCCCTCTGACATGGGCTCCTCGAACCGAGTGCTGATCTCCGGCTGATCCTGGCACTGGGGTGTGTGGGGGCAGGTTTTGGTACCTAGTAGGGGTGGCTCAGCAATGAGGGTGGCTGAGAAGATGGGGGCAATAGCCTGGGGAACTATCAGCCATACCCAGTCGTTAGCCCTTGCCTCCAAATCACCACTAATAGAAAGCAAAACTTCCAAGTGGGGCCTTCTACCCACAGCTTCTACCTGGTATCTCCCTTCCTTGGGGGGTACCGCAGAAGCCTGGCATCTCCTACAGCCCCCTTCTCCCAGCAGTTTCCTGCAGCTCTTTAAGGGAAACCCCATCCCCTTCTCAGCTGGATCGGAGGAGTGAGGAGGGCTGCCTAGCCTCAGGCTTCTGGCCCTCAGAGGGGCAGGCACCCTGGTCCATTGTACCTGTCGGGGAGAGAGTTCTGGGTGGGGGTGCTTGTCACTGGTGGGGGAGTAACTACCTGCAGATCAGCCCCTCCGGCGCTCAGCCTTGACACTGCCCGGTGGGTGCTGGGCTAGATCGCTCTGTGCCCGGGCTCATGCTGGCGAGCAGGCCGCGGGGGAGCTGAGGTCAGCAGAAAGGAGTGCACAGCTCAGCAGGTCTGCAGTCACTGGCGGTGGGCGGGGATGAGATTTTTAAACAAATGGATAAAGCACGAAGCCCCAGCTGGGGAGCTGGAATATTCATGACCCTCATTCATTCATTCATTCATTTATTCATTCGTTCTCGTTCTCTCTCTCTCTCTTCCCCCCCCCCCCTCCTCCGGCTGTGGGTGCTCGGGCTTCCCTTGCTGAAACAGAGGATTGAAGAGGATTCCCTAGAGGAGTTTTCAGCTGAGCACGGAGCTGCCTTATCCATGGAGTCTTTCACCCAGAAAAGCCTTGTCTCTTCTCCTGAGGTTATCATCAGCCTTTCCATTTCTCTCTCTTTCCCCCACCCCCCTTTGTCTCCGTTTGTTTACTGGACAGCCATTGCCAGGCTGTCTCTGTTTGTAGCCCCTTGTGTAATCCACCTCAGGGCCCCTGGGAAGATTTTCTGCCAATGCACCAGCCACGCGTGGGCAGCCAGTCAGCTGCTAACGAGGCATATTCTGAGCTGGTTCTCCCATCGTAACCCAGTGATAAGGGGGTGTGTGTGGAGGCATAGACAAGTCCTGCACTGATCTCTGGAGCAGGGTTAGTAATCAATACTGACCTGGCAGCCTCTTTACGTTGTCTTAGAGAATACTGGCTTGGCTGCAGTGTTGGTGAGAGAAACCAAGCATCGAGGCTGAGCACTTCTTCCATCATACCACCTAGAGCTATGGTGTTGAAGCTGGTAATCTAAGCAGGGTTGGGTCTAGTCAGTTCTTGGGTGGGAGCCGAGCCCTCCAAGGAAAACCAAGGTGCAGCAGGAGGTAGTGCTGGTAATTCAATCAGGAGATGGTTCTCTTTAAGTCAGTGACCCAGAATAGAGCTAGGTGCTGTGCTGGAGCTGCTCTGTCTCCTCAGAGATGTAAATCTGAGGTGCAGACCACTATTCCCTGAGGATCCCTGAGTGTTTTTCTCAATAGAGGAGGTGCTAACCCTGGTGTGCTGGCCAAAGTCCATTTGGGGTAATTATGGGACATTCTACCCACTTAAAGCTCCCCTGCATTTGGTTGTGGTGACTTTCTTCACCTCCTATCCTAAATGGTTGGGTAGTGTTGTTGCTATGTGCTTTTAACCAGATGCTGCCCTGCTCCCTGGAGATGGGTCCAGTTGGGTGATGGGGGAAGTGATGTATCTTGGGCTGACACCTGCAGACTCTGTTTTTTCGCAGTCCTCACTCAGGCAAAGCTTCCGTTCCAGAAAAGGGGGTTTGCCTGAGTAAAATCTGAGCAAGGACCCTAGGGTTTGGCCCACCATTTGTGAAGCACAGCGGGACCCTTCTGGATGAAGGGCGCTATAGGAACATATGGGGCCATGCCCATCATTCTCCAAGAGTCCATTAATTTGGAGTGCCTCACATTTTAGGAGCTCAGATACCATGGTGATGGGCGTGGTATAGAACAGAGTACAACTCGGAGCAATTACTGTCTGTCTTAGGTAGTTAGATGGCCCCCATCAGCACAGTGCGTGAGCACCTCACCATCTTTAACGTAGTTACCCTCACAACACCCCTGCGAGGTAGAGCACTGCTACTACCCCATGTTGGGGCCTGAATTCCAGAGGAGCAGAGCTCCTGCCTCTTCCCCTTAAATGGAGCTGCTGCCTCTCGGCCCGGCGCACAATCAAGCCATTGGCCTTTCAAGTCAGGCACCCCCAAATCAATGGATGCTTCTGAAAATTTGGTTTATACCCATATTAAACCCTCATAAAAGAGCCCCCCCCACACACACACACACGCAGTGGAGTGAGCGCCCCTGTGGTATCCAGTATGCCCTCACTCTCAGGTGTTTGCCCTTCTGGGAGGGAAATGAGTCTGTCGGTGTCATTGCTCTTTATGTTTCTCATGTGGTATCGATTTCTTGGTATGGTGAGGTGGGGTGTGCGTGAGGGGAATATTACCATGGAACTTTCCACTAGGCGGAAGAAAACTAGGCTACAACATGGTTCCCCTAATGCGAGTTTTCTCTGTCCACACAGGGAAGAGTGAATCAGATTCTAGCTTGGTCGGGGCAGATCCGTGCTTGAACGTGGTGATTTCTGCCACCTAGACAGATCCCAAGGGGACCTGAGAGACATGTTCTGATTAACCTACCTCAATGAGGGGGGAAGATGTGAGGCTGTCAGAGTTTGGAGCCAGGAGAGGGAGAGGGGCGTATGGGGCCTTTGCACCCTGTTAAGATATGGCTGTGCGATGGTGAGCCTTTGGACGCTATCCCTCAGCTCAGTTATCTCCTGGCGGACCTGGTAGCTTGTAACTGCTTTGGGGATTGTTTCCAAACCCTACTACAACCTAGCACAGTTGCAGCCTGCTTTGCATCCACCCCCAACGTGGTTACCAATCGCCCTGCTGAGAAAGTGCACCCTAGGTTAGCCCCCTCATGGGCAGCACGGCTGGTAAAACGTTCTATCCTCTGTGAACAACTGTGTTGGAAGAATATGTTGGGAGCCCAATGCTTGCCAGCTCTTTCTAAATTGGATTGTTTCTAGCGCAGTTCGAGCCATAGTGAGGACAGAACCTAAAGCAGAGTCTGATGTAACAAAGTGCAGTTGCAGAGGTGCCCAGAAGGGCAGGATGGAAGATGCTGCAATTAAACAGCCCTGTTTTGGAGAGGAAAGGAGCTGAGTTTCTGGTGCTCTCAGGAGCCCTGGGGGCTCTTTGACAGGACAGTCGGATGCCTCACTCCAGTTTGTTCGGATAATCAGATGCAGAACTATGCTCTGGATTTTCCCCCACCCTGCTCCCCAAACGTGTACATAATTGTGTCTGTATCCAGCAAAAGTGTTTAAGCCAAGAGTTTCCCCCATCCCTTCTCACTCAGAGCAGCACACCAAGGCAGAGGTCTGTGTATAGGACTCATCACAACTGCTCACTGGAAACA